TTGTAGTCTGGTGTATTGACCTCTACCTTGCAGAGGCTGAGCACCAATTCTCAGATACCTCCTCCTACCTTCCCCTGGACCATGACCCCACCATGGCACATCAGGCCATTGTATCTACTACGGTAACTGATCTCATTCCATCTGGTGATCTCCCCCCATCTGCTTCCAAGCTGATTGTCCCGCATCCCCGCACGGCTTGTTTCTACTTCCTCCCAGTTCTGAGGAAGGGTCACCAGACCCAAAATGTTAACTCTGTTCTTTCCTTCACAGATGCTGCCAGACCTGCTGAGCTTTCCAGCAACTTTGTTTTTGAAAGGGATTTATCTGCCTGACAAATTTATTACAATTCTTTGAAAGGTAACAAGCATGACAGATAGAGGGGAGACAGTGGGTATAACGCAAGGATTTCCAGAAGGCTTTTGGTAAGGTAGACCATGAGACTACTTAATATGAAAACAGCCCATGCTGTTGGGGGTAGTATATTAGCATGGATTGGTATACATTAGCATTAGCTGACTGATAGAAGACAGATTTTAGAAAAAGGGGTCAATTTCACAAATAGTGAATGGATCCCTTGGAATTTTTCTTACACATTGGACATACCTATTCTTTGTTTTTTTAAATATCCTCTTAACGATCTGCCACTTCATTTCTATTGACCTATTATTTAATACAATCTGGCAATTCACTGAGCTAGCTCTTCTTTCACGCCCTTAGCCGAAAAAATTTTTTGTCGAAACTGTCTTGCATTCAGCAGGACAGTTCAAAGAATATCAATAAAAGGCGAAACCAACATTTAAACCATGCTGGGACAACAAGGTGCAGGGCTGGATGAACACAGCAGGCCAAGCAGCATCATAGAAGCAGAGAGGCTGACGTTTCGGGCCTAGACCCTTCATCAGAAAAGGGGGAGGGGAAGGGGGTTTTGAAATAAATAGGGAGGGAGTGGGAGGCGGATAGAAGATGGATAGAGGAGAGGATAGGTGGAGAGGAAACAAACAGGTCGAAGAGGCGGGAATGGGGCCAGTAAAGGTGAGTGTAGGTGGGGAGTTAGGGAGGGGATTGGTCAGTCCAGGGAGGACGGACAGGTCAAGGGGGTGGGATGAGGTTAGTCGGTAGGAGATGGAGGTGCGGCTTGAGGTGGGAGGAGGGGATAGGTGGGAGGAAGAACAGGTTAGGGAGGCAGGGACGAGCTGGACTGGTTTTGGGATGGGGTAGGGGGAGGGGAGATTTTGAAACTTGTGAAATCCACATTGATACCACCCCATGCTGATTGTCTTTTTAAGTGGACTCTGATTGTCAGTGGTGTTGCCATGATGATAGCACCAGTTAATGATGTTTGACAATTAACTAACAGTTTCTGTTTAAATTTTAAACCAGTTGAGGCATTTCCCTGAGAAATGAACCAGCAAATGACTAACAACTACTTGTTGATTTAAACTAGGCACAGAAGATGTACATGTTCTTCCCTGTCTGCAAAGAATAGACTCTTTTAATGTATGTAAACTCCAACACACACAAGTGCACCATACTTAACATAATACCAGGTTTCACATAGCCACTCTCTGGTTGACACCAGATGATTCTGTTTTAAGAAATGCTCCCAAAAGCATTCCAGGAACTCCTCATCTAGTCCACATTTACCCATCTCATTTTTCCTAATCTATTTGCAAATTAAAATCTCCCATGATGATACCGTGCCTTTATGATGAACTCCCACTATTTCTTCCTATAAATTCCACCCTAAAATGTGGTTACTGTTAGGGACCTGTACACTACTGCCCCAAGTGACTTCTTGCCTTTATCCTTTCTATCTCTACCCAAACCATCTCCACCTCCTGGATTTTAAACTAAGGTCATCCCTCACTTCTTTTTCAATGCTATAATTAACTAATAATTCCACAACACCACCATTTTCTAGTTTACTGTCCTTCATTTAATGATATGTATGCTTCACAATTCAGTTACCAATCCACGTATTCTGTATTGGCTATAAGATCATACTTATTTCTATTTGCATTGGCAGTTTATCTGTTTGTTTTGTGCATTCAGATATAGAGTCTTCAGTTGTAACATTTTATTCTTCTATTAGCCTCTAGGTTTATCTGTTAATTTACTTTTAGTCTTGTACTCTCTACCCCCTCCTGTCATGGTCCATTTATCATTTCCTATATTAATATCTTTCTTTTTTGTCTTGTGTCCACACTTCGACTTAGTACTTCATCCCAAATTTGATCCCTTGTCCTCACTCTGTAGTTTATAAACCTCTCTACTTCTCTAGTTATGCAAGTGCACAAGCCACAGACACTGGCCCCAGCACAGTTCAGACAGAAGTCATCACAATAACACAGATCCCACGCTCCCCAGGACTGGTGCCAGTGCCTCACAAACCCCAATCCACACGAATCTGTGATCCACACATTAATTTTTCTAATCTGATTCAACCTATGCTAATTTGCATGCACCTCATGTAATAACCCAAAGTTTATGATCCTTCAGGGTTTGCTCTTAATTTGGCACTTTTTTTCCATAAATGGCAATTGATGCTAGAACACAGTTAATTTTAAGCTTGAGATAGATAACATTTTGTTAACCAAAGATATTAAATTATTTGGGATGAAGGCATATTCAAATCAGTACCTCAAATCCGGAGAGCTGAAAACTTGTGTTGTCCAAAAACTGGGCATTCTTTCGCAGTGGAGTGAAACCTGACCCACCTGACCTAACTCAGTCACTTAACATGACCCGCACAAAAGCACCCAGTGACAAATAAAATGCATGACTCTGTGCATGTTAAAAGAAAATATGTGTTTTCATACAGGTAGTAGCAATGATACACTGTGAAGGACAAAAAAAATTAAAGCAATCATGTCAAAAAAGCCAACATATACCTCCGTAGGTGACCATACATAAAGAAAGCATAGTTCACTGTCTGCAGCCAAGAAATTGGAGATATTGCAGAAATTAAATAGAGATACATCAATGCGAAAGTTGGCTGAAGAGTACGAGGTGGATACATCGGGAACCAAAAAGACTACATATTCTTGTTTTATGCTGCAAGTGGCATTTAGAAAGAAATTGGTAAACAAAAAACTGCATGAACCAAAAAATGATGAGATAGATGGAATGATGATGGAGTAGCTTAGCCAGAGACAGTGTGAGAGGGTGCCATTGACTAGGCACCTGTCGTTCAGGCAAGACAAGACTTCAGTGCCAAACTAAATATTTCAACTCCATGCAAATTCAGTGCAGCTTGGTTAACCAAATGTAAAAGGAGTCATTGAATATGGCAATTAGAAGTAGGTGGGGATAAAGCCTCAGCAGATCAAGGCAGCTGAAGTTACATTTGCTAAGTTAATTGCAGGCGAAAGCTTTTAGCTGAACAAGTCTATAATGTGGATAATATATTTTTTATTACTTACCAAACAAAAGCTTAAAATGTTGTCAATATTCAGCACCAACCAGTGTAAAACAAGCAAAGGCAAGGCTTAATATGCTTTGGTGCGCTAATGTGGCTAGCACACACACACGAGCTGATGTATTGGTAAAAGCCAGTGCCCAAGATATTTCATGGAGGTAATAATCTTAATATAATATAAATATTATTATTAATTTTGCTGATTTCATGCATTCACTATTCATTTAATTGCAGCTTGATGAGCACACCTGTCACTCTAAATTCAGCATAGTTTATGAGTCATTCTTCCTTGGAGAGGTTTATAAAATCATGAGGGGTATGGATAGGGTGAATAGCCAAGGTCTTTTTCTCAGGGTAGGTGAGTCCAAAACTAGAGGGAACAGGTTTAAGGTGAGAGGGGCAAGGTTTAAAAGGGACCTAATAGCAACTTTTTCACACAGAGGGATGTATGCGTATGGAAGGAGCTGCCAGAGGAAGTGGTGGAGGCTGGTACAATTGCAACATTCAACAGGCATCTGGATAGGTATATGAATAGGAAGGGTTTAGAGGGATATGGGCCAAATGGGATTAGATTAATTTAGGTTGCCTGGTCAGTACTGAGCAGATGGACCGAAGGGTCTGTCTCTGTTCCGTACATCACTATGACTGTAATGCTGAATGATCTTTCGCTGACCCAATTATTTCCCTGCCCCAACCTGGATGAACATTTTGTTTGGGATCCTAACATCCATTCCACCAGGCATTTAGATCTAAGTTGCCCACTGTGTAGGCGGCTCCTGTACTTTCGCCTCTCAATTACAGCAGAGGGTACCGCAGAGAGGAATTCTGCAAAAGAAGTGACACTCAAAAGGAGGACATGAGGCTGGGATTCCATTTCAGCACTTTAATTGGAACAACATTTCCCGGATATTCGCCACCTCACTTGAGCCTCAGTTTAGAGAGTCTTGTATGCATGACGGCAGCAGCACAGATGTTTCGAGAAGGAAATGTAAACAGATTTTATCAGCAGCAGTCTTTAGGTTAGCAAAATGCAGAGAGGTGCATATCGTGGGAGGTGGGAGTAGTCAGAGTCTGACACTTGCCATCAGGGAGCCCCGCAGGGAGGGCGGCTGGTAAAGCATTCCTATTAGTTTTGCAAGTTCTCTACAAACACATTGAAAAGCGATCACGAAGGAACTAATCCGACAAGTAAGCCCCGGACATCGCTGTGTGTGTGTGTGTGATGTGTGTGTGTAGGGGGAGGAGTCTCAAGGACAGACTGAAAGAAACAGCCATGATGAAAACTAATCCTTAAATAGTTCTGTGTTGAATTCCAGGTAGAACTTTTTCTCCATTTCTTTTACGGCCAAAAAAAAAACTCCGTCAAACCCAGAGAGAAAACAAAAACTTTGGTCCTTATTTCAAAGTTTCCAGACTTTTCAGTGAACTGAACTCCCCCCCCCACCGCAAGTGAAATTGCTAAGCTCAGGTGAAACTGACACAGGTTCACCTGTGTCCTCCGATACAGTACTCCCTGTCCCTCTCCCTCACTCGCTCATTACAGCATTGGAACTCTCAATAAGACTCACAGTCCGCGCCTTACCTTGCCCTTGAGGTCGAGCACGAAAACAGCCGAAGCTGACATGATTCTCCGAGCAGCTCAGGAACCAGCCAAGTCCGTGTTGCCCGCAGGGTGCCGCCTGTCACCTCGCCAATGTTAGTCTTACTTGTTTCCGTATCCTCCGCGTCATGGTCACCGATACCGACAGCTTTGTAACTCCAGGCAGCAGGAGCATGATCCAAGGGGCAGGGGGTAGGGGGGAGCATCCGTCCGTATATAATTACAGCGCATAAACATTCAAATACTGAACTACACAGCACAAGGGAAATCGAGATGTTGGGCTTGAAGAGCCATGATTATACAGTCAATGACAATCCTGTGCACAGACTGGCACACCAATGTTGCTGTGAATATGGATTCTCCTTCCTTTCTGTCCCCACTCCTCCTGTCTGCCCTTTAATCCATCCCATTATTCTTCACCCTTCCTGGGAGCAGAAGTCTTAGGAGCAGAAATAGGCCATTCAGCCCATGGAGTCTGCTTCCCATTCATAAAGTCTTAGAGTCATGGAGATATGCAGAACAGAAACAGACCCTTCGTCCAGATATCCTAAACTGATCTAGTTCCATTTGCCAGCATTTGGCCAATACCCCTCTAAACATTTCTTACCCATCCAGATGCCTTTTAAGCATTGTAACTGTACCTGCATCCACCACTTGTTCTCATGGCAGCTCATACCATACACACACTACCTTCTGTGTGAAAAAGTTGTTCCTTAAGTCCCTTTTAAATGTTTCCTCTCTCACCTTAAACCTATGCCCTGTAGTTTTGGACTCCCCTACCCTGGGAAACAAAGACTTTGGCTATTCCATGCACCTCATGCTTTTATAAACCTCTATAAGGTCACACCTTAGCATCTTTTGCTTCAGGGAAAATAGCCCCAGCCGATTCAGCCGCTCCCTATAGCTCAAACCCTCCAACCCGGGCAACATCCTCGTAAATCTTTTCTGAACCCTTTCAAGTTTAACATGTTTCCTATAACAAGGAGACCAGAATTGAATGCAGTATTCCAAAAGTGGCTTAATCAATGTCCTCCCAGCTCTAATAGTCAATGCACTGACCAATAAAGGCAAGCATACCAAACACCTTCTTCACTTTCCTATCTACCTGCGACTCCACTTTCAAAGAACTATGAACCTGTACCCCAAGGTGTCTCTGTTTGGCAACCTTCTCCATGACCCTACCATTAAGTGTATAAGTCCTGCCCTGATTTGCCTTTCCAAAATGCGACCCCTCACACTTATCTAAATTAAACCCCATCTGCCACTTCTTGGCCATCTTACTAACCATACCTCCTATATTCATATCCAAATCATTTATATAAATGACAAAAAGCATTATTACACTCCACTTTCCTGTCTTTTCTCTGTAATCCTTAATTGCTTTACTGATTAAAAATCTATTTCATAATTGAATATACCTAATGACACATCAGTCTCTGGTAAAGAGTTCCACAGATACATGACCTTCTGAAATAAGAAGTTTCTCCTCATCTCTGTCTTGTTTGGGTGACCTTACTCTGAGATTAGGCCCTCAGTCCTTGACTCTCCCTCAAGGAGAAAGACCTCCTTTTCCTGTCTGTTCTTTCTCTCTGCCTGACCTCCTTTCACACCCTCCTCCTCCATTTCCCACTTCACCCAGGGTGGGCAACACTCCTGCATTTTAAGGGATTGTCCTTTTGTCAAGAACAAACAGTGCCATGTTCCTTGACAAATGCCTTTTGAACCATATTTCCAACATGTGACAGTCTCAGTTGAGTGATGTGAGATAACTGCAAGTGAATCAACCAACTGAGAAATGTGTGAGAAAGCTGTGATCAAGATAACTCATATATTTTGTTTTAAACTCTCTGTTGAAATGGCTACCAGTACCACCTCCACTCCAGCCTATCAAATCCCACAGTTGAAATGCCCATTATTTTATTTTGTAGCAACTGGTCACTCTGAATCCATTCCTCCCTGCTCCAAACCTTCTCAAATCTTCACCACGTTTCCTCTCTGCTCCTTCTACCCTTTCCACTCTGCTTCTCATCCTCATCCCTTTCCAATACTCATTACCCGGTCTACCCTCCTCTACCTGTCTATCCCTCTCCGATCCTTGTACCCCTCGCTCTCTAATCCTCATACTCCTTCCTCACTATTCTTGCTTTTCATAACTCTACCCTCCCCACCCCTTCCTTCTCTATCCCCTTCTCCTTCCCTCTGGTGCTCCTCTCCACTTCTTGTTGCAGCTCCTCATGGACTTTATCATCAATCACCCTTACATCTTCCTTCACTTTGCCTCCTGCTATCTCTCATTGTCCCTTTGCATTTACCTCATTCTTTACCTTTCCCCCTTCTCCCCCTCCCCTTTTCATTCATCTCCCCATATTTTCCCTATCAACTTGCCTCTTTTCATTCTGCCTGCTCCCTTCCACTTTGCGAAAGCTTTTCTTTCAGATGAAAGGCTAAACCTGTTCCTGTAAATGTTAACAATTCTGTGTTTGAAGAAAAAAGGAACTTTTTCCTTGAGTTGTTACAACATTTTTTCCTTGAGTTTTTACAACATTTCTCCCTTGACCAATGTCATGAAAATGAGATGAACTCATTGCTGTTTATGAGATGCTGCTAGGACAGGGCGATTGCATTTTCAAGAAAACCAACTGTGAAATGCTTTGATGTGACAAGATATTACATAAGAAGAGGACAAATTATTAGTTTTATTTACTGAACTTTAAGCGCTGCAGTGAATATACTCAGCACATTGCAGTAGTTTCCATAATTTCAAAATCAGCAATAATTAATCACAGAATATTATTAGAATGCATTACAATTATAGATCATTACATAGGACTGAACTGAGAAGGAATTTCTTCACCCAGAGGGTTGTTAATCTATGGAATTCCTTGCCCAGTGAAGTAGTTGATGCTACTTCAGTAAACGCTTTTAAAAAAAAGGTAGATTTTTTTTGAACAATAAAGGAATTAAGGGATACGGTGAGAACGCGTGTAAGTGGATCTGAGTCCACGAAAGGATCAGCCATGATCTTATTGAATGGCGGAGCAGGCTCGAAGGGCCAGACGGCCTATTCCTGCTCCTGGTTCTTGTGTTCTTGCGTTCTTGTGTAAAATATACATATTTACATTTCTTGAATAAGATCATATTAATAGAGCTTTGATTTCCCATTCTGTCTCTGTCTCCCAATATAACATCCAACCTCTGTTATAATGTGCCACCTTACAGATTTCACATCTTACATGGTTGAGATATTACACTGATATGTCTTCTGCAGTGAGACACTACTTTACTCAGATCTAAATGTTGTATCAGACTGCTATAGTGATATATTAAAAATGCACAGTGTTTACAGCTGTGAAAAATAAGTCTTTTCCAATATCAGTATAATTTCACACTTCAATGCAGTTGGGAATATCTCATCCATGTGAAGCATGGAGTGTTAATTCCATCATTGTCTGCTTAGTATCAAGGCCATGAACAGAATTCCTGATTGGTTTTATCTTCTGATGGCTGAAATTATTCCATAGAATTGAGTTATCAACAGAAACATGACATGTCATCGGCCTATCTGTAGAAATGCCCATTTTGTACTTCTTTTCTGTAAAGGCAAAGTTGCCGTAGTCCTGCTCTCACATTAGAAAGAGACAACCGATGGTGGTTTAATATGAGGGTCACCACACCATAGGCAAGGGGAGTCCTTCATAGTAATCTTAGCTGATGTGGGGATGGAATCCATGCTGTTGACATTGCTTTACATTACAAAGTAGCTGTCTAGCTAACTGAACTAACTGATTCCAATCATTGATCCAATTTCCACTCAGACCTTGCTTTCCTTGGTCACTTACACTATTTTTAATAAGCTCCCAGAAAAAGCTACTCATCTTTCAAATGGGCACATTATAGCCTTCGAGATTCAAACAGGATTGAACAATTCCAGATCGTAGGCACCACTCCTATTTTTAGCTTCTTTAGATTTTTTGTTTCTTCACTTGCTCCATTATCATTCCTTTTTCCTTTGTATTGTCATTTTTTTTGCAATTTAATCTCTCCCACGTTCCACCCTCTGCCAGAGCTTTGCTCTTGTTCTTTCCTCCTCTATCTCCTTTTCCTGCCTTGTGTACAACTTGTTACATGTCTAACTCTTTCTAGTTCAAATGGAAGGTCATTGACCTGAAAGATTCAGCTTTGTGTCTCTCCCCACAGAGGCTGCATCACTAGCTGCACATTCCCAGCATTTTTCTGTTTACATTTCAGATTTCCAGCATAATCCAGATCCAGAGAGTGGGAAACAGCAGAAATTAAAGCAAAGCTGCAGACTTGTGAACTCTGATTGCCTCAGCTATAGCCATATTTTGATATTGATGCTACATTAGTAGCAAAATATTTGTGCTTCTGCATGAGATTAACCTCCAAGATTGCAATCAGAAACAACAAAACACCCTGAGACAACAAGGTGTAGAGCTGGATGAACACAGCAGGCCAAGCAGCATCAGAGGAGCAGGAAAGCTGACGTTTCGGGCCTTGACCCTTCTTCAGAAATGTTTTTTTCTTTTATTTTGCCTGTTTATGGAGCTTGTAGTGAAAATGATCTATTTTACTATTTTGGTTGAATTTAGCCCCCTTTGTACTTATAATAATTAATTTTAGCATCTAAACTTTTGCAATGTTCAATTTCCCACTGAGGTGACATGAAGTATACAACTAATTGACATTTTGCTGTTCATCTGTTTGAAGTACCAGTGGGCTTTATATTATATTGCATTATATTATAGCCTTTTTGGATCATTACTTAACATCCAGTCCAGCCTGTTCTCTCAGACAACTGTAAACCACCAATGGTAACATTGTACCAAAGCAGAAAAATGTGTTCTAAAATAAGGTTCCACTTCAGCTATTAAATTGTTGACTTAATTCCAACAGAATGGCCGAACTGATAGCCCACTGGGCTTAGGATTTCCACAACTACCAATATTACAAATCCGATGTAATTCCACAGAAAGTCTTTCTGAAAGTTCATTAATAAGGTATTAAGAAGTTTTAACAAACTTGAGCTGCTTGGCCTGCTGTGTTCATCCAGCTCTACACCTTGTTATCTCAGATTCTTCAGCATCTGCAGTTCCTACTATCTCTGATGGAATGTTTGCTTTTCATTTTACTGCCAGGTATTGGGAAGTGGAAAAATAATTCAGTTGCTAATTTTTTTTTTAAATCATGCTTATTCCAATCAATATATCCTCACTAGTCACTTTTGTAATTATGGCATGCATGTTTCATCCACTCCGGGGCATTTTTCAAATTTCAATGGTC